CCCCCCCCCCACACACATAATAATCTAAATAAACTCTGATGAGCCTACCGGCACAGCAGAGGCTGATGGCCCTAGCCAAATACACAGCCTCTAGGTAGACCTTTTCACAGCAGAACCTGAACTTATTAACTAACTAACTGGCTCAGGGCTACACACACAACTCAAATGCTCAGCAACCCCAAGACCCCCGCTGGTAGCAGGAATGCATTCTAAGACCTCAACATTTAGCAATACACGTCAGACCTGAGCAGTCAAAGGTTTGAGAAAACCTCTGAGAGGGGGAAAAAAAAAAATTTTTTTTTTTTTTTTTTTTTTTTGAGACAGGGTTTCTCTGTGTAACAGTCCTGGCTGTCCAGGAACTTGCTTTGTAGATCAGGCTGGCCTCGAACTCAGAGACCCGCCTGCCTCTGCCTCGCAAGTACTGGGATTAAAGGTGTGCTCCACCACACCCAGCACAGCAAAACTTTTTAAAAACTTATTTTACATGTGTGTGTATTTTGCCTACCCATGTCTGTGTACCATGTGCATGCAGTGCCCAAGGAGACCAGAAGATGGTGTTGGTTCTCCTGGAACTAGAATTACAGACAGTGTAAAAGCTGTCATGTGAGTGCTGGGAAACGAACCCAAGTCCCATAGAAGACCAGACAATGCTCTTAACCACTGAGCCATCTCTATAGCTCCTTGAGAGCAAAACTTGATATAGGACAACACTAGCAACAAATTTCAGAGAACTCAATCTTTAGACCAAGTCTTGTGAGAGGAACATTCTTTTCTTTGAGACAAGACCTCACTATGCAGACTAAGCTGGCTTTAAATTCACAGAAAGCCATCTTGCTTCTTCTTCCCCCCAAGTTTTGGGGTTAAAGATATGTGTCACCACTACATTTCTAAAGGTGATATCATGGGCTGTGCCCCAGCTCTATTACTCTTCAGAAAGAGGAATGACTGAAATGGGGACACAACTCTCAAGTGATTGGCCCAGAATCCTTGTGAAGCCACAAACTGGGGTGGTTAGCAAATCATCAAACATAAAACAAGAGGCCCCAGTCTGGTGGAACATGCTAAGAGGTATGCTCACCCGTGTGTGAGGTAGGGGTAAGGGGCGTTGGGGGAGCCACTTCCTGGGTTCCCCGCAGACGGCCGGAAGCTGTAGAAGGGAGGCCACGGGTGGCTGGATTCCGGGAGTGTCTTAATCGCTCCTCTCGGTCCCGGCGTTCCCGCTCAGCATCATCTGCAGCTCGGCTGGCACCCTGAGGAGGGAAGATTAGGATAAAAGTCTTCCCTCCGGCACCAGTTCAAAGTGCAGTGCCCCCCACCCATGAGGTGGGACATTGTGCGGCTGACAACGTTCTTGGCATGCACCCCAAAGAAGCAGTTCTTGTCACTGCTTCGACTAGACACATTACCTATAAAGGTTCCAATTTCAAGTTCAAATTACAAAATTTCTTGATTGTTTGAGACAAAGCCTTGCTTTGTACCCCAAGGCTGGCCTAAAGCTAATAACCAGCCTCCCTAGCACTGGAATTAATTACAGACGTGCACAACCACGCTTGGCTCAAAGAATAAGATTGTTTTTATTTCATTCTTGTTTGTCTGTTTACTCTATGCTGTCTCACTTTGAGGCCCTGGCTGGCTTGGAACTATGTATTCTAGACAAGCCTCACACTCAAGAGACCTGCCTGCCGTTTCCCTCTGAATGCTTAAAGGTGTGAGCTACCATGCCCAGCCCAAGAATGAATTTTCAATGAAAATTTTACAAAGCCTTGAATTGTAGCAGCAATATCTGAATGATTACAGGAGCAAATTCAGACTGAATACCAGGCACTTTACCCCAGAGGCTCTTCTGAGGCCTATGAGATGTACACTCGATTGGAGATGGGGTAAGGGGTGCTAGATGACCCTTAGTAAGGGAGAGGCAGGGCTTAAGGAGACCACCAGGCTTCCTACCAGCTCAGACTACCATGCCATGCCACCACAGGCAGCTGAATCCACAAAGCTCTTAAAACTGGTAACGGAAATTATAACAGAATAATCTTCTAAGGTGGGCATGGGGGCAGCAGTACCTCCAGCACCTGGAAAGCCAAAGCATGATGATAGCTTAAGCCTAGGAGTTCAAGACTAGCCCAGGCAACAACAAACTTCAAAAAATAAAACTCAAGGTTGGAGCAATGGTTCAGTGATTAAGAGCACTTGCTGCTCTTGAGGAGGACCTGGGTTTGGTTCCCAGAACCCACACTGAATCTTACAGTAGCTTCTAACTCCAGTTTCAGGGGATCTGACTTCCTTTTCCGACCCTCAGAGCATCAGGCACACTATGTATATACAAATTCTCTCAGAAGTAGCTTTACTCCCTAAAAATTCAGGAAAAAGAGAAGAGGAGAGGAGAGGGGAGGGTAGTAAGAAGGGAGGACAGCAGGCAGGTCTTTCAGCTAAGGAAGACTTACCAACCCATCAGGAGCTGACTCCATGCAGACCTTCACTACAGCTTACCGGGCTTCTTATTATACACATCCACAAATGCCAGAGGTCTTTAGTATTTTGTGTGTTTTGTCTGCATGTAAGTAAATGAGCCATGTGCATGCAGTACCCACAGAGGCCAGAAGAGGGCATAAAGGGGAATTGGATTCCCTAGAACTGGAGTTACAGATGACCCTAAAAACTGAGCCCAGGTCTTCTGCAAAAGCAGCGAGAACTCTTCACTTCTGTGCTATCTCTCCAGCCCCAAATGCTAGAGAGGTTTTTGGCTCACTCACCATCTTCCCTCTCAGTACTCTGAACCCAGAGGCAAATTCGTCTCTAGGCCCAAGTTCCACCAGGTGTGCTTAGCTTTCAACAATTGCTACTGTGCCTTACAATTCTACCATTGTACCTTGCACAGACAGCATACCTTTACATAAAAAACCCATCCCAGCCTTCTGAGGACCAGGATGCTGTCATCCAATGCTCTAGCAAAATATCACTTACAAATTTGAGCATGTTCCAGTCGAACACATAGTCGTAAGAGAAGCCCTGGCGATGGAACAAATTTCTGAAGAGCTGTCTCAGGTAGGAGTAGTCAGGTTTGTCATCAAAACGTAAGGAACGGCAGAAATTCAGGTATGTGGCAAATTCAGCTGAAAAAACAAAACAAAACAAAACCAAGAAACTCAATGCTAGCTAAGTGGCCCAGACTGGTATCCATTTACCCAGTTCACCTCCCACAGCACCATATAACAAAGATATCAAAGATGAAATCTGAAAACTAGTCATATTACTTCAACATCTAGAACCTGGAGGTATATAGTTCAGTGGTAGAAGCTCACACAGCTTGCATACCATGTGTGAGGCCCTGGGTTCCATATCTAGCACCCTCCACACTTCCCAGAAGGTCAACACTAGAGAGCAAAATTCAGTTATCCAGGGCATTTTTATCCCAGGAGCAATCTTACCAAATAGGAAAGTTCCCTGGGAAATGGCTCTGGGAGGTGGAATAGTGGTAAAGGGTAGTCAGTTTAAGGAGCAGTTAGGTCTCCCACTATTTTCCTCCTTCCCTATCCATGTAAATCACCTCTCAAGGCTCAGTCTTGCTTCATTCCAGTCTCACTGGAGCCTCACAGAACACCTTTTAAACAAAAGCGCTCAGGGACGGAAAAGAAAAACAAACCCAGGTCCAACTGCCACCTTCATATATGAAAAGTGCCTCTTTCATACAACTCTTCTAACAGAAGGAAGCAGGTCTGACAGCACAGCCAGAGGCTTTCCACACAAGTGTCTAGTTAATACGGGGGAGGGTGGACTCACAAGGATAGCCCTTGCACAGCACTTCAATGGGAGTGGACATCTTCTTCTCACTGATCCTCTCATACTTCTGCCTCTTGGTGGCAGCCTTCAGCCCCTGCCAGGGGAGAGAGCCCAGGTTGAAGTACATCAGCACGTACCCCAGAGACTCCAAGTCATCCCTTCGAGATTGTTCTGGAAAGAAAAGGGAACTATGTCAAGGAAGGCATGTATGTCTGTGTATGTATAAAAGCAACACCTGGCAAACAAGAAAATGGAAATAAACTCGGGAGGCGGAGGCAGGCGGATCTCTGTGAGTTCGAGGCCAGCCTGGGCTACCAAGTGAGCTCCAGGAAAGGCGCAAAGCTACACAGAGAAACCCTGTCTCGAAAAACCAAAAAAAAAAAAATTTTAAAAAAAAGAAAATGGAAATAAAACTTCATAAAGACTCCAGCAGCTGTGCAAATCTGCTTGTCTGCTATAAAGGCTGGCTGACAGCCTCCATCACCAAACTGGCTCATAACCCCAGGCTAGTGCTAAGTAAGTTGGACCTTCCCCTAAGCCTTATAAGGATGGACATATTAAAGATACACTAGGTCAAGTGTTGCACCCTATGTCAGGGCTCACCAATGCCAAGGTGCGTGTTGATGGAGGCATAGCGTGCCGTCCCTGTGAGGTTCTTGTTCTCTCGATAGGGGATATGCTGGTGAGTGCGGGCATCCCGGTACTTCTTGGCCAGACCAAAGTCAATGATGTAGACCAGGTTGCCTTTCTTTCCCAGCCCCATGAGGAAGTTATCTGGCTTCACATCTCGGTGGATAAAATTCTTCGAATGAATGTATTCAATACGACTTATCTACAAACAGAAACAACGGTGAGACTGAATCCCATAGTGGTTTGTGCTGCAAAAGGAGGCTGCTTGGCAGTGAGGCTCACATTACACATTCTCTGCTTTCTGGAAAGCACAGAGATTTCAGTTAGGGTGGTCATCTCTCAAGGTATCATTAGCCCTCTATCCCCCCACAGGCCCAGACATTTCTTCTCCTTGGTTCCCATGGGAGTAGAAAAGAGAGCAGGCTAAAGTGGCAACTCACTACCAGACAATGGTCTGTTATCAGCTAAACTCTGCATGAGCCATAAACAAGATTTTCATGGAAACCACTCAAGAGTTGCTACCACTCAAATGTGAGCTCCCTGAGAGAAATGGGAAGTCCATTCAATATGGACACACTTGAGAAGCTAAAAATTGGCCTCTAATCTTGAGGCCAACATTAAACAAATTCCCCTTTCTATGCAAAAATGGGTATAATAATGGAGAATTGGCAACCCAGTAACTTCTTTATTTGAGACAGGGTTTTACTATGTAGCACCCTGCTGATCTGGAACTTGCTGTGTAGACAAGGCTGGCCATGAACTCACCAAGATCTGCCTGTCTCTGCCTCCTGAGTACTGGGATTAAAAGGACATACCACCATGCCAAATGTAACCCAGTAATTTATTCTATCAAGCCAGCAAGCACATGCCAAGTACCTATACTACCTGTGCACTTCAGTAACAGGGGTGCTTACCATTTGGTCAGCAAGCAACAGGACAGTTTTGAGACTAAACTTCCTTGAACAGAAGTTGAAGAGGTCTTCTAGGCTCGGTCCTAGTAGCTCCATCACCATGACATTGTAGTCCCCCTCAGCCCCACACCATCTGATGGTAGGGATGCCCACTGAAAGAGAAACCAAACAGAGGACTTCAGCCCAGGCATCAGATCATCTCTATTCGACACGACACAGATGTTTAGTGAATTGAGTTTGGGGGTATGGGTGTTCAAGGGGTTCAGATGATCCTGGCAATGTCTTGCCTCAAATATGTCCACTCGTGATTAAGCCACATACAGTAACACCTGACACAGAGCAAACTCTGGCAAGAGTCAAGCAAGCAGTAACAGCAAATGAGATAATTTCATAACATCAGCATCCATGGAAAGAAAAAGCACATGAGGTAAGACAGGTCCAGAGAAGCCAGCTGGAAGTCATAGCTCCACCAGTGAGACTGGAACCTAATGTTGAGAAAACAGAAGAGAAAAACATCTACCATGGGTTGTAGAAGAGAGAAAAAAGTATTTCCTTTTTTTCCCTGATACTGATGAGGGAAAAGCAAATACAATGAAAATTTCTTAGAGATTCATACGGACTTTAAACACACCAACCAGTAGAACAGAGTATGGAGAACAGGACAAACCCAACATAAAGAAACCAACTGGGTGAGGAGATGTGCTTGTGAGATGGAGCTGTAGAATCCAGAGTTCTGCACCTTCGACTATGTAATGAGACCCTGTTTAAAAGAAAACAACAACTGTAAACCAAACAACCCAGAACTCCCAATAAGGGAAGGAGCTCAAGGATGCTTTCAAGATGCCAGATCTGAAAAAAGCCAACCTAGAAAAATATTTCATCTAAGAACATGGATGACTAACAACAGTCACACAAAGATGCTCAGGAAAAAGCGAAGAGCACTTGCTCATGAAGACTGCCAGGAACAAGAATGCACACAGAAGCTTTGTTCAGGTCAAAGAGCAAGCATTGCAGAGAGACAAGCTTTACAAGATGCCCCGTGTTCTCCTCTGCCTACCAGAGCATGTGGTCTAGTGAGCTCCAGACACTGTCACTGGCTCTTATCATACATGCTCCACTTTTGGCTCTGTCATGAGCCCAGGGCCTCTCTTTCCTTCCATGTGAAGCATTTAGTGGAGCTTCATTATGAGTTTAGATGTTTGCAGTGAGATCCTACCATTTAGGAAAAAAAAAAAAAAAAGCTTCATTATCTCAAAGTATTTTTTACATCTTACTTGAGAACCCATACAACAAATATCTAAATATTAAAGTAATCGAGACTGGGGACCTAACAGGATACCTAGTATATTCCTAACAGGAGCTTCTATATCCCAGCCACCTTCTGTCACCCGTGCTTGCCATTCAGACCTCCCTCGTGTGTGCTATGTAACATTTCTTCTTAAAAAAATTTTATTTTATTCATATTTTATGTATGTTCTGCATGTATACCTGCATGCTAGAAGAGGGCATCAGATCCTATTATAGATAGATGGTTGTGAGCCACCATGTGGTTGCTGGGAATTGAACTCAGGACCTCTGGAAGAGCAGTCAGTGCTCTTAATCTCTGAGCCACCTCTCCAGCCCTGTTACATTTCTCATAACCAGTATTCCACAATCTCTCACTACCTACCTGTCATTTGGATGGTGTGGTGGTTTGAATGAAAACGGCCTCCATAAGCCCATAGGGAATGACACTATTAGGAGGTGTGGCCCTGTTGGGAGGAAATCTGTCACTGGGGGCAGATTTTGAGGTCTCAGACGATCCCAGGCCCAGTGTCTCACCCTCTTCCTGCTGTCTGCCAATCCCAGATATAGAGCTCTTGGCACTGGATGTAGTACCTCTCTAGAACCATGTCCGCCTGTATGCCGCCATGCTCCCCACCATGATGACAATGGACTAAACTTCTGAACTCTAAGCCAGCCCCAATGAAATGCTTTCTTTTATCAGAGTTGCCATGGCCATGTTGTCTCTTCACAGCAACATAAACCCTAAGACAGATGGTTTAGGTTTGCTTTTCCTATTATAAATGGCACTGTGAAGTATGTTCTTATATATGTCCACTGTAACACATGGAATTCCTTCTTAATCTCTGAACATACACCTATAAGCACATTTGCTGTGGTGTTTAAGTACAAATTATCCAACTGTACAAGACATATGAGATGATAACAGCAATGAACAGGGCCCTGTTGTTGGACATTCTGCTACTTGTCCATTCCCTACTTGTACCTAGTGTAAAAAATGATTCTCTCTGACCACTGTGTCTTTTATGAACACAACCACCATGTCTGTTTCTCTTTTCTGAAATGCTCAAGCATATTTTGTGACCCCAAAAAAAAAAAGTTTAATGGTTTTATGTGAGGCAAGTATCTTCTTGTGGTGAGTAATGCTTTCGGGTTTTTTTTTTTTGATAGGGTCTCACTGTGGCCCCAGTCTGGACTTGAGTTCCAGTCTTTTCTGCTACCTCAAGTGCCAGGATTACAGGGACATGTCATCATTCCTGCCCAGCTTGTTCTCAGTATTTTTCTCTATGAAACTATTCCCGACCCTTGAGTCATAAAGAGATCCTATTATTACCTTGTAAAAGTGTCAAAGTGCAATGCTACATATTGAGACCTTGTCTTAATAATAATAAATGTTGAAATGCAGAAATCATTTTTGCTTCTAACAGTGATGAAGTTAAGAGACCCAACTGACCCCTGTACTGAAATAACTCAAGAGAGGTAAGATAAAACATGAACCTCAGGAAGATGATGCTGATGTTTGAAAGACAACCACCACATGCCCAAGTGTCACCATAAAAGACAGAATCAAGCTGAGCGGCAGTGATCCATGCTTTTAATCTCAGCACTTGGGAGGCAGAGGCAGGTAGATCTCTGCGAGTTTGAGGCCAGCCTGGTCTACAGAGCAGAGTTCCAGGACAGCCAAGGCTACACAGAGAAGCCTTGTCCTCAAAACAAAACAAAACAGACCAATGTAACTTGACTTCAGTCTAGAAACAACAGGAGGAAGAATGGGCAAGACAGAAATACTGAACACAAAGGGGATAAGATTCTCAATGTCTGGCATCCAAAGGTTATGAGACATAGTAAGGCATGTGAGCCCACAAATTAGAACTGGTAGAGATGAGCATTAAAAGTTAAAGTATGCCAAGGGACTGTAATTCCAGCTATTTAGGAAACTTTGGCAAGAAGATCACAATAACAAGTTCAAGGCTTGTCAGGGCTACAGAGTGAGTTCCTGGCCAGCCTGGGTAACTTATTGAAACCCTGTGTCAAAATAAAAACAAACAAAAAAGTGATGGGGATGTAGCACAGTAGTGGAATGCCTGCTTGGCATGTGAGGGACTCTTGAGATCAAAACCCAGTATTGCAGAAGGAAAAAAAAAAGTTGTAATTAAATATAAATAAATTCCAGGTCAAGAACGTTAAAGGAGGCCAGGCAGTGGTGGCACATGCCTTTAATCCCAGCACTTGGGAGGCAAAGGCAAGCAGATCTCTGTAAGTTCGAGGCCAGCCTGGTCTACAGAGTGAGATTCAGGACAGGCACCAAAACTACACAGAGAAACCCTGTCTCGGGAAAAAAAAAAACAAAGTTAAAGGAAAGAAAAACTCTCTCTCATACCAAAGGTTGAAAACTGTAATGTCTAAGATTGAAAAAACACCAAGCAGATTAAACATTGCAAAGACCAATAAACTCAAGACAGCAATAGAAAATATGGAAGCAGAGCAAAAGTAAACAGGAGCCTTAGTGTACTGTGCTGCAGGCTCAGCTCAAGCCATCAGTGGAAATGGGAAAATGAAGCAGGCAGGTATCTGAAATCCAGATTCAGTTCAGGTGCAAGAATCATGAAGATAATTACATTAGTGTACAACAAACTGCCCACACAAATGGTGTTCTATCCCCAGTAGTCCTGCATAAAAGCTCCTTCCTGAAGAACTCAAGAGTACCAAGTGAGATCCATAGCTACACAAAGCAACCACAATTACTTGGGAGTAAAGCCCTTCTTAGCTGTAATTTTCTTTGGAGAGAAACATGGCTATATTCATAGCAGTGGACTCAACTGTTGTGGAATATTTCTTTACACAGTGTGAGGACGTGTCATTGTGACTGGTTTAATAAAAAGCTAAATGGCCAATAGCTAGGCAGGGGAGAATAATAGGTGGGACTTCTGGGCAGAGAGGGGAACTTAGGATGAATCTAGGGGTGATAGGAGAAGCCAGTGAGACACTGAAGAAGTTGGACATAAGGCACAGAGGGGAGGTAACCGAGCTAACATGGCAGAAACAGGTTAATTTAAGTTATAAGAACTAGTGAGGCAATCCTAAGCTAAGGCAAAGCTTTCATAATTAGTAAGTCTCCATGCCATTATTTGGGATTGGTAGCTGAAAAAAAAAAATCTGACTACATATGGCATCCAACATCAGGCACCAGATAAAGCAATTACTTATATGTTGTCCCATTATTAAATAAAACTCGGGAGTCAGATACTGGGGTAAAAACCTGGTCAATCCAAAGAGCAATGGACGAATGAGCAGATGACCCTGCCTCTCCACACTTCCACATTGGAAAAAGCCCTCAAAACCTCTCCAATCTTTTTCTTGTACCTTTCTATCTGACTACCTTGGCCCTCCAACATTATCTTGGCTAATTCCGGTCAGCCAATCATTGACCCCGCGCCCCTATGGTTCAAGGTTTAACTTTATTGGAAATCTTGGAATGTCAGTGCAAACAAATATCCCAAAACACTCAACAGTTTTCATTCCCTCTCCAATTAACCCATTCCTGTCATCATTTGTTTTGAAGTCCTGTTTCAGAGTTGGCCAGGAGGCATGCCTTTTTGTGTCCTCCCACATCCTCCCAGCGTGGTTCTGTCACTAAGGGAGGAAGGGTACTTTCTTTTGTTCCACATGTTCCAAGTTCTTGCCCTAGTCCTGGAACCAGCCACAGCAAGTAGTATAGGCCCTCCTCAATGGGAAGAACACTTGAAAAAGCTTGGGACCAGGCCCTGCCCGTGTCCAGAACAGCTTTAATCACCACAGCTCTAGGGCAAGCAGTGACATTTTCAGGCAACTGCTCCTCTTCTTCATGAATACTGTTGTTAATCTTGGC